AACCATCCATCAGGTCAAGGTAATTCTATCTACCATCCATCAGGTCAAGGTAATTCTATCTACCATCCATCAAGTCATGGTCATTCTATCTACGATCCATCAGTTCATGGTAATTCTATCTAACATCCATCAGGTCATGGTCATTCTATCTACCATCCATCAGGTCATGGTAATTCTATCTACCATCCATCAGGTCATGGTAATTCTATCTACCATCCATCAGGTAATGGAAATTCTTATCTACCATCCGTCCAAGAATTACCAGGTCATTGTCGTGACCGGACCGAGGTTTCCAGCCTCGGCCACGGCAACACGAATTAGCGATGCAGCTCCCACGGGTGCGGCTGCTTCTATTGCTGCTGCTGCTGTTTCTGTTGCTGCTGTTTCTGTTGCTGCTGTTTCTGCTGCTGCTGGTGGTCCGTCACCTCCAAAATTCGTTAGAAGAATGACTTCAACGAGCTTAGGTACTTCATATTTATACCTGCTAGCCTATCAAAATTCTCTAACCAATGAGATTCTGTTTACATGCGAACTATCACGCTTCACGCTCACTTGATTCTACTCATTATTTATTCAACACTAACTCTATCTACTACACTTTCGACAAGAAATTCCCGATAATCCTTCCCAAGCGACACCAGATCACAAGTATTATTATACAACACTTCCATGAAAAGTATGATCATGCCAACCGGAAAACTTATTTAACGAGCTTCGACAACGCTTCTACATCCCAAAGCTTCGACCAACTATATCAATAGCCTGCAAAACTACATGTGGTGTCGAGTAAACCGATGTCAGCCACAAGTTCCGGTGATGGCGCCACTACCAGCTGAACGGGTAACGCCACAGTTACGCCCCTTCAGCTCGGTAGGAGTTGATAACCTGGGTCCTGTAGAAGTGTTGGTCGGACATCGAAGAGAAAAGAGATGGGTGGCTCTGTTCACTTGCCTTGCGATACGAGCCATTCGCCTCGAGGTGGTGCATAGCTTGACCACGCAAGCTTGTCTGTTGGCGATAAGGAGATTCATCTGCAAGCGAGGGTCACCGAACGAATTCTTTTAGGACAACGGAACCAATTTTAAGGGTTGGAAGCAACGAGATGTCCAAAGCGAAGCAGAAGATCAGTGCGGAATGCGCTGAAAGCGTCTCTAGTCCGGCAATCAAGTGGCACTTCATCTCTCCCAGGACACCTCACATGGGCGGAAGCTAGGAAAGAATGGTGCGATCAGTGAAGGGGGCGATGAGGGCATTGAATAACGGCAGGAAGCTGACGGATGAAATACTCCTGACCACATTGTCCGAGGCGGAAGACATGGTTAATTCTCGTCCGTTGACTTATCTATTACAAGATTCAGAGGAGACTGAAGCTATTACACCGAACCATTTTCTGCGCGGGGTTACCAAGGATACGGATCAGATGGTCGATGATGAAGTCGAGCTGGCAGAAGCACTGAGGGACATCTATAAGCGGTCGCAGTACTTGGCCGAAAAGATGTGGCAGAGGAGGAGTAAGGAATACCTGCCCAGTATCAATCGCAGAACGAAGTGGTTTGAAGAGTAGAAGTAGAAGATTTGATATTCCTGGTAGATGGTGCACAGCAGAAGAACTGGAACAGATGGTAAGATCCGGCATGCCAAGGTGAAGACGAATAGAGGCGTATTCAGGAGAGCATTGGCAAACCTAGCAGTGATAGAGATTCCTAATAAATCTGGGACTTCCGGAGGAGCGGAACCGGAGTTACGGCCAAATAACAGTCTAGCGAACATGCTACGTCGCTGTTAGGTAAACGGTAGAATTGAATTGAATTGGAGAAATGTAAGTCGTTCATTAGTGCGGAAAATTTCGGATTGCGTTTAGCAAAATTAGTTCATATTTCGGTTGAAAAAATAATCACAACTAGTTTTAAGGTATCAGAAAGTGTGTTCAATTGGATACGGTAAATTTGATCATACAACTAGTAAAATAATTAACTGAAAACAATATTTTATATCTAGATTGGCAAGCACTGGTACACAAAACTAAATCTAATATACTAAAATTTCCTAGATCTAGTGACTAGAATTGTGGATAAAAGTCCAGACTAGTATCGTGAGTATTCTAAACCTAAATTGGTATTAATATATGAAAATCTAATTATCCATGATTGAACTCAGATTAGTGAAGAAACGTTTTGAGATCGATAAATCACCACAAATCGGTCGGTTTACTGTGATTTTCTGCGAAGTTTCCTGAACTTCAACGGAATTCCTTAAACTAACAAAAATCATTACCGAAGTACCCGGTAATTAGGAGAAGATCCTGTAACACTATTATCCTGAAATTAATCAAGGTTACCTAAACTTCAACAAAGTTCCTCAAACAGAAGTTGCCGCTTCTATAAAGGTTTCACCAATTTTAACAAAGCTGTCTGAGTTTTTACGACATTCTCGGAAGCGCTATGAAGTTATCAGCATTTCTCTTAAATTTCCTGAATGACTACGCTGAACATCGATAAAGTTGCTGAAATTTTACGAAGTTCGATGGAATTAAAGTAAAATTCCTGAACTTCAATAAAGTTCCCCGAGTTTCTAAACAATTCTCGGAATTTCTCGAAATTTTTATAAAATTCAACAAACTTGTTTCTGCTTAATTCGTTTTCCGTTGATATTGTTTTCCTTACTAAGTACCAATGCTACGGACGCCAGGGAGCCAGCTCCTATATCTGTACCCTACTTATCAACCCATCTCGTGGACCGGGGACCAACGGCTTTACTAGGCGTGATCAGAAATGTTATGCCCCAGAATATCCCGACGACGCCGACTGGGATTGAACCCAGGCCCTTTGCAGTAAGAGGCAGTCACGATTAGCTTCAAAAAACTTCTCTGCACTTCTACGAAGCTCACTGAAGTTGTACAAAGTTAAGTGAGCTTTCTCAAAGATAAATGAACTCCTATTTGTAGCACTTCTAAAAAAATCCACGGAGTTGTCGGAGTTCAGAAAGTTGAAGATCTATGAAGCTCCTTGAAGTTCTATAACAGTCCCTGAACTTTTACGAAGTTTCCCGAAATTCTATGAAGTTCTCTGAAATCAAATGGCTCTTGGCTTCTAACATCATGTGGTGTTATGTTTGACAGCCAAATTTCGCAATAGTCTATAATGAAGATAATTATGATTATGGTGGATGATTCCTCTCATCAATATATTTGTAAAAACTAATTTACCGTGCTCTAGGATTGAACGTAAGGAATGGTTAGGAAATAACAGAGAGGGAGAGCTATGGAAGTCAAAATAAAGTCGGCGATAGATAGAAGTTCCTCCGGAAGGAGTTGGCATTTCGTTAGCTTATCCAAGGAAGGACTCTTAAAACTGAAAATGCTGAGTCTTTTCATCACTCAAGACTAGCTTAATAAAGTACTTCTAACTGTCTGAACAATGCATTTCAATGGTTTGTCGATCAACTATGAATGATGGAAATGGTGGATTTTCAAATGTGTACCATCTAAATACGCCATTATAAAATTTCATCAAAATGTCCACGGTTTGTTTCACTGCTATCATATACAAAAAGTGTTGCCTATGTGCAATACTTTCAATAAATCAGTATAAATGTCAACGAACGGCAGAGATGTTTTTCATAGGACGTGAAATTTCCGGATTCAAATCCTACTACATATAGAGGAAATGCCTTTACTGTTGGCCTATGGATCTAAGGTTGGGCCCATCGCAAAAAATATACTAGTTATTAATTTTATCTAGATGAACGCGTTATTGGGACGGTACTAATAGATATTTTTGGTCACTATTGAAAATTTAGTCGATTGCTGAATTTATGTATGGGCCCAAATTAGGGGCACTTAGGCCGACATGTCATCCATTTCCCCTATTCCATGAACAAATTTAAAGGAGTAAAAGTGTCTCAAATTAATAATCCAGAGATGCACGGGATCCCGGGATTTATAAATGTATATACCCGGAATTCAGGAATCCCGGGAAATGTCAAAATCTCCGGAATTTGAGTGATGCCGCAGGTTATAGGAGGGAGATGTTGGAGGCAACTGGTACCCCTAGCCAGGATCTATCAGTAAGGCTCACCGTTGGCAACTTCGCCTCACTACGTCGTAATTTACAGTTATTGCTCGTCTTACGATCACAGAAAAGACTGAAAATGCCGCAAACCGAATACTTCATTCTTTTTATTTTGAAATTCAAAATAATAATATCCAATAGATTTCCTGCTCCGCTCCCGTTTCCATATCTCCTGAACGCACTTAGCCCCATATTGAAAGCAGATTTCCACCCACTTGAAAAACTCGAAGCTCGAAGTTCAAGATCAACCACCATGCACGAAAAAACGAACCTCCAAAGCAACAAGCCAGCATCAGTTTGCATCATATTTTGTTTAGTGATTCCCTCCCACCGAGCACACCCCATACATTGTACACTTGTTAAATCGAATAAAAATCCCATTTCCCTCAATCACTTCGCTGACATTGCGAACGAGAGCATTCGCCACGCTGCTGTAGAACACCGCGCCCCATCACGAATGCATCATCCAATTGTCTTTAGTTCACTTGGCTACCGTTTTCCACACACAGCGTCAGTCCAGACCTCTAGTCTCTAGTAGGTAGGTAGTCGTGTTGTAGTCAATTAGAAGCACTCAAGAAGCGCTGCTGGAAGATGATTAATAGCAACCCACCTCACGCCGTGCGGGCACGGCCGGCGGCTTAGCGTGTGGCTGTGGTGCACCATCATCGAACTTGACCTTCGGCGGTAGTTGAGTGAAATTTATGAGAGCGAAATTGAATTCCGCAGGCCGCAACATTTTGGCAACACAGCGGACAATGGCTCGTAAATCCATTGTGGTTTGGTCGGTGACAGTACAAACGATGGTTGGTTCGTTGAATTACGAACGTTTAGCGTGACTAATTGGGATAATTTCTTCAAGAATGAGCCAAAGCGTTAAGTTATTCAAAATTCAAAGTTTATTGCTATTAACTTAGGAGGTATTCATTTCGGTTCCGGTCAGTTTGCTAGTGGGGGTGCTCTCTCATTTATACCGTTCAGTAAGCCTTGTAGACGCAGCTCTTGGGATAGTTGAACTTGAAGGTCTTGGTCGATGAGAAGCTCTTGAAATCCGGGTTGTAACCGCGGGAAATCTCGGACTTGTACTGCTGTGCTTGGGAAGAGTTCTTCTCGAAGCACTGGACGTCGAAGTACTTGCTGATTTTGTCAGTAGGAGCACACTTGGAGTGACAGGCTGGCAGGGGACGCAGGGTGAAGCAAATCTGATCACCTTGCTGGAAGAACTGGTGCTGGTGTTGAACCGGGCAATCCTTCAGAGTATGCTGCTGCTGGTTTGCGTTGTATTCCTTGTGTTCCTCGGAGCTGGAGCTGGAGCTGGAAGAGTTATCATTCGAGTTGGATTCCGAAGACGACGATGATGAATCAGACGAAGACGACGAGCTGGACGACGAGCTAAGTTCATCAACGTTGTGGTTGTAGTAACGGTAACGTTGGCGATAGAATTCCTGCTCGTAGATGATGTTTCCGTAGTAGACCTCCTTCTTGATACATTCCTCCTTGGCCTTCTGCTGGTAGGCGAAGTTGAAAGCCTTGGCTGGTCCGGTGCAGTTCTGGCCGGTAAGGGCGTACGAAGCGGCGAAGAATTCTGGCTTGCGCATGTAGCACTGGTCGGGAGTGACAAAGTCATCGGAGTATTCTCCGTTGTTGGTTCCGCACAGACCGACAAAGTTGTTGTAGTATGAGTAGTCCGAGAAGAAGCGAGCACGGTATCCGTCAGTAGCGAACTTCAGTTTTCCACCGAAGAAGCTGAATTCAACATCCTTGTTCGGGTAGGCAAAGGCGTAGAAGAATGGGAAGCTAGCATAGCCTTCCTTGGCCTCGAAGTGAGCAATGTTGTGCTGGCTGACATCGTATGGGCGGCCGTTGAAGTAAACGAATGGAACACCACCGTTGTTGGGGAAAACGTCGATGTAGTTGTCTCCGAACAAGAACTTGAAGTACAGCTGTTTATCTGATCCTCGGCGAGCCAGGGCACTGAACTGTTCGTACTCTTCAAATCCATTCTTGTATTTGTACTCGAAGTCCGAGTTGTAGAAGTGGGAATCCTGAGCGTAGAAGTCGTAGTCAGGCTTCACGGTGTGCAGTACTACGTGCCAACAATCACCCATATCGTAGAAGTACTTCTTGTCATCGAAAGTATAGAAGTAGTCAGTGGAGAACGAACAGGAAGCTGAAAAGATCATTTGATTGTAAGCAATTAATCGTTTTTAAATTCAGCTTGAACAAATGCGCAATACTTACGATATTGTGGTTTCCGGTCGAAGACGGCAAACTGTTCGTAGTTAGAGAGTTCGTTGTACTGACGGTCTTGTTCTTTGTGCGATGGCAAACGGTGCAGGAAGTACGGATAGTATTTCGGGAAGAACGTGTACTTGAAGAAGTACGGGAAGTACGTCGAATAGTCGTTTTCGATCGGGTAGTTCTGGACCTGGAAGGCGTAGGATGGACCGTAGAACGAAGCGTTGTAGTAATCGCCGTAGGGAGCAAACTCGAATTCGGCCTTGATTTGGTTGTGCTTTCCGTGGTAGAAGAAGTTGGATTCGAAGTACGGGTAGAAGGCGTATTGGAAGTAGTCGTAGAATTTGGTGCTGATGTTCTTGGCAACTGGACCGACATCCTTGTACTCGAACGCGTAGTCGTAGAAGTCGTAGTAGTATGCCTGATCGATAGCCTGTTGGCATTCCTCGAACTGGTAATATCCATCGGCCATCTGTTCCTTGCAAGTCTTGGCAACATCCGAGAAGCGCAGATACTCACGGTACTTGCCAGTCTGCTTCTGCTTACCCTTCACCGAAATGTGAGCTCCTCCCTGGCACGACTCACCGTACAAGAAATCGAAGTACTGATTGGCATCTCCGTAGTATTGGTCAAAGTCCGAGAACTTCAGATATGGAACACGTGGGAACTCGCTGACAGCAGTACCGCAGAATTGGAACTGCTTACCGTTGAATGGAATGTCCTTGAAGTACGACTGGCTGGCGAACATTGGGCTGGCATAGAAGTAGAACAGCTGGCGAGATGTCTTGTCGACTGGGCTGTCGGCGAAAGCGGTGGTGAAAACAAATTCACTCTTCTGCTGGGGAGCGTAGAACTCGAAACCAAAGTCGTAGTAACGGACGAAGCTGTTTCTGATTCCAGAAGCGGCATTGTGGAAGAACTGCTCGTAACGGCGCTGGCTTCCAGCACTGTAGACGAACGGTTGAGCAAAGTTCGATTCGTAGTAGTTTCCGGAGTATGAGTGACGGTTGGCCGGATGCTTGGGTCCAGTTTCTTCAAAGGCTGGGGCACCAAATTTGTGATAAGCGAAGAACTTGAACGATTTGGCGTGGGTACGCTGAGCATCGTAGTACAGGTTGAACTGATGGTAATGGTATGGCTGATAGGCGAACGGATAGTTGACAGCCGAAACAAAGTCGTGCTTCTTGAACAAGTTCCAGAAGTGCTGGAAGTTGATGAAGTCATTGTCGTATTTAGCGTGGAATCGCAGAGCTACACCAGTCATGTCCTGACCGAAAGTGTAGTCGAGGGTCTTGGTGGTCTGGTCTTCGTCATGCACAATCTTGGCATTGGGGCTCTCGGCAATTGGGCGCATGTCGGTGATGTCCTTGAATCCAGTGTACGGCCACGAGCTCATGTGGAACAGCAGATGGTCTTCCTTGGGATCTTGGATTTCGAATCCAAACTCGAACTCGTCCTTGACAAAGTCCAGAGACAGTTCAACATTCAAGGGCAGGTATCCTTGCAGTTTCTTCTGATAACCAGCGATGTGGCGTTGATGGTTGAATGGAGTGATGAAGCCAACCTTGGCGTCAACCATACGGTGATACAGGACTTTCACACCAACCGATGCGTTCAAAGCTTGTGGGATATAGAAGAAGTCATCGTTCTCATTTTCAGGGTGACCAGCTGGTTGCTTGTAAACCTGTGGGTGGGTCTTGGCGGTGGCGTCAAGCTCAAACTTGACTACAGTCGGTGTCTTCAGAGTGTACAGAAACTGGAATCCAGTAGCCAACGGCCATGCAAGAACAACATCCTGTTGCTGGTAGAACTTGGTAAGGTCAAAGTTGTAGCCATCTTCCAAATCATGGCAGAAATGCTTGAGCTTGCGAGGCAAGTTCTCGATGGTTTTGTTATCGAAAGCTTGGAAGAAGTATCCGTTGAACAGTTTAAACATCAGCTGTCCTTCCAGTTGCTGAGCCTCTTCGGAATCGATGTTCAGCAGCTTGGCAATGCGAGCGGCCGTATACTTTGGTGGTTCCTTATCGCTGTAGGCACTGTCCTTGCTCTTTCCGTAGTATTTCTCGTAATACTCGCTGTCCTTATTGTTGTAGTACTGCTTGTAGTACTTGGAGTACTTGTCGTAGTTGTAGAAGTTGGTGTTGTAGTCGGACGACTTGTAGTAATCCTCGAAGTGCTTGGTATTGTACTGCTGGTCGAAAACGTCGAAGAAAGCTTCCATGCTTGAAACCAGATAGTAGAAGGTGGTGTATTTCTTGAATCCACCAAAGTTTTGACGCAGATGGTAGAACAAACCGTTCGGATAGTAGTGATCGCCGGAAGCGATTTCTCCGTAGTGCAGACGGTAGGTCATTTCAAGGTTCTCCAGGGCGTAGTCACGGATGTGGTTGAACGAGTACTGAGTGCTGAAGTCTTCCGGGAACAAGAAGTTAGCAGCAGCCTTGGCATTGACAGCCAGTCTGCTATAGTTATCATATTCATCAGCTTGAGTGGCAGTTTCGATGGCAGACTTGACGGCAGCTCGGACGTAACGGCTTGGGTCGTGGTGGGTGAATTCGGCCATACGCTGGAGGATTTCAGCTGATGGATCAGTGCGCATCAACATGTGAACGGCAGCGCAACGGATTTCATGGACATCTCCGATATTCTGGTAGGCACGGAACAGCACAGAGCGAGCCAGTTCCGGGTAGTAGACAACCAGTTTGTCCAAAGCAACAATCATGGCCAAGCGTTGGTAGTCAGTGATCTGGATCTTACCCTCCAAGTATGGTTCAAAGACCGACAGGATTTGAGGATGGCCAAGATTTCCAAGGGTACGAATGTAAACCTGGATTTTGACACTGTCTTCATGGTGAACAGCTTCACGCAAGTGATGGGCGAGCCAAGGGACCAACTTGTGTTCGATGATCTTGTAGTCAGCATCAGCCAGACGACCGAAGCTGAACACTGGGTAGTAGTTGTAGGCCGAGCGGTTGCTAACATGAGCCTGGTTGACAAAGTCGCTGTACGAGATGAGAGCAGTAACGTTCAGATTATCTTGATGTTGCACGACATCGCTGGTAACCAGCAGGAAGAACTCGTGCAAGAGTTGCTCGGTCGGGTAACGGATGGATTGGACCAAAGTGGCAATCACGCTGGCGGCTTCATGACCGCGCAGTTTCTTTTCCTTGATGTATTGGGAAATCATTTTGTAGGCCGGTGGAGTACCAGCTTCAGCAACAGCATCACGGAAAGCAGCCCAAGCGTCAACACGTTTGCTGAATTTATTGTCATTGATTTGAGCGGCCTGACGTTCCTTTTGGGAAACGAAGTACTTCTGAGCAAGATCGTAAATTTCCTGATAATTCATGGCACGGATGGCACGGGTGACAATGTTGAACTTGCTCAAGGTGTTAGACTTGGGCAGAGTAGATGGATTCTGTAGATCGTTGGCAATTTCATCAATCAGCTTACTGACAGAACGGATCGCATCGACGTTGCGAGCGTAGTAGATGTTGTAGCCCTTGTAACCGGTGAAGTATGGCAGGAAGGGAGCTTCTGGAGCGTGGTTGAAGTTCTCCGGCGTCGGTTGGTAGTAGAATTCCTCGCTGCTCAAGGAGAGGGACTCCGAGGACGATGAATCCGAACCGGAAGAGGAGGACGACGAGGATGAGCTCGAGTCGGATGAAGAGTTATTTCTGTGTTCATGGGATTCCGAGGAGCTTGAAGAGCTGGACGAAGAATCGTCGGAGCTGCTAGAGTCAGATGAGGTATCATTTTTGCGGCTCAGGCGGTACTGATCCATCTTGTAGGCTTCGTAGTACTTCTTTTCCTTGTAGGCGTTCAGATCACGACGGTTACGGTTTCCACGCTTCTCGACTTCATCCAACTGAGCCTTGTATTGTTCAACGGGACTGACCTTGGGGTTCTCCTCCTGAGATTCGGAGCTAGATGAGCTCGACGACGAGCTAGATTCCGAGGACGACGATGAGGATTCGGTAGAGTTGCCTGGACGAACGCTGTTCTTCTTATCACTGGGCATGTTGTAGCTGTAGACCAGATCAACGAACACCTTCTTATCTTCGGCTGGACCCATGGGGACCTTGGTGTAGGTATGAACATCGTTGAGAGTTATGTTAACCTGAGCGTAAACCATGGCGTGTTCTTTGTTCATCAAAGAAGGAGCAATGGCGATCTTGTTAATCATGCTGGACGATTGGATGGTGAAGTTGTACCAGTTTCCGGTCAGATACATGTAAGAATTCAGGGACTTGGAGGCAACATTACCCATGCTGTTGGTGTTCGGTCTGAAGTCACTGTATCCGGTGAATCCAAAGTGATAGCCCATGCGCTGATCACAACGGTCAAAGTTCTGGGTCTTGATAACTTGGATAAAGTAATCATCGTCACCGCGCAGCTGACCCTGTGGCACCCATTGTTTGTGGGATTGGATGAGATACTGTGGCACAAGGTTGACATCGTAGTGGGTTTCGCATTCACCGGTGACCAGGGGTTCCATAACCTTGTAGTAGCCGTTCCATTCGCCCTTGTTCGGATGAACAGGCTTGCTGGAGTGCATAATGTTGGCTCCACGGGTATCGACCTGCAGCTGACTGACCCAAGCCTTGAAGATGTTTACTTCATTGTTGGGGACGTCTTGCTCGACATACAGACCCTTGATGGCTCCCTTGTGGTAACGAATTCCGAAAGGTTTGCTGCTCATCGGCATGGGAATCCACTTGAAGTTCTCATGGTTGAAGTTGGTAGCGTATCCCTGTGGAAGGCGTTCGTTGAAGACGGCGTACTCTGGCTGTTTGACGTAAGCAACCACGTAGTCAGGGCTCTTCGGACGGACTACCATATAGGCACGAGTGTAGATACCGGTCCACTGTTCGTCCATCTCCGGCATAGCGGTCATGGTCTTGGACGTCACATTGTAGATGTACTCGTGGTTTGGCATCCACGCGTTGAACTCCAAGTCAGCAGTGATGTTCTGACGGTGTTTGTAGAATGCTCCATAGTAGGCATTCTGGTACCCGTATTCGAAACCGTTCTTGTAACTGTAGCCTTCGTAGTAGTTCTTGTCATCGTAGCTCTTGTAGCCGTACCCGCCTTCGTAGGGGTAATTCTTGTACCCTTCGGAGGGGTAATTATTGTATCCTTCGGAGGGGTATTTCTTGTATTCACCTTCGAACCCGTTCTTGTAGCCCTTGTACTGGTTGGCAGCACTAAGCCCCACTGTGAAAGCAAATAAGAAAGTAAGCGTCGTATTGTTGCTCCTAGTTCGGCAGCTTCCAAAATACTTACCCAGAGCGAGGAGAAGAAGTTTCGCTATCATCTTTTCACCAGTAGTAATCCAGTAGCTGTTCCGACTGTTTCTTCACCGTTGAAACCGAAACAAGAAGTGATACTGTTTGAGCTCAACGGGGGCCTTTTTATACTAAACAAAATGCTTACTTCTTGCAAAAAAATAATCTGTTATCAGTTTTGAATCGCTGCATCCCTTTTCTCGCGATGATGATGGTAAGCAATCGATCGGTTCACCGTACGGTCAAATCATCCAAGTGATAAGACTCAAACAGATGGCAACACCGAAGGTGCAGCGCTGCTTTGAGTACTGATGGTCGTTTATGGCTAGATTTTACACGATTTTCTGACCGATACAGAAATAAATTTGGTTTAAGTTTGTCCCATGATTTATGGCACTATGCTCGCTGTGCGAACACATAATTCTGCATGCCTTGCCTCCATCGTGTCTGGAAATGGCCCGAAGCTACACGTGACTAGCTGGCGAGAGAGTCCCACCTACACGCTTCTTATTCGAATCGCATTCGCACCTTTTAATCTCATTTCTGGCCCACCTCAATGATCGCTATGGGGTTGTTGTTCTGCAGTTTTAGAGTTTCATTCTTGTCCCTTACTTCGTTTTCTTTGCAGAGAGGACACATTCGCACCTCGTGGGGCTCATTCTTCATCGAACCGTTGCAAAAGTACTCGAACGAGGATACCAACATTTGGCACGCGCTCTCCCGGGAACGGGGAGTGGTGGAGAATGCCGTCGACAGCTTGGAACGGGACGGTCCGACGGCACAGGATGATGGCAGTAACTGTGCCGTCGATACCGAGCAGGAAGGTAAGTCGATGAACTTTTGCAGGATAGTGGGATAGTGGTAGGAGATGTGTGTGATGTTCTTAAACTTTCGAACGTTGAAAATGGTAAATCTGGTAAGTCTACCTACTAGCAGTTTTGTAATGATGTGAATGCTTCATGTTCCTGTTTCAAATCCATCGAGAAAAGACACCAATCATACAAAGCTTTTCACATAGTATGTAAACCATTTCATGAATCATAAACAGGTTCATTGAAAGCGTTGATGGTTTAGACATTCTCCCTTCAGACTGACACGCCAGCAAAAGCCATATTGTTCCCGAAATCTTTTGAATTCCATTCCACCACATCGGTTTGCTACACTTTTGCCATTCAACACGTGTTAAGTATTGTAGGTCCTCCCCCTGATGGCAACCATCTCAAGCTCGAGCTGCAAAATTACCACCTCAATCAATCACTATTGGATCCCGGAAACCCCTTAACAACAACACGGCCGGCCAGAATTGATCAATCTGTACTACTGGAGCTGCCGCTGTTTAGTCCAAAACGGGAAGAAATCATTCTTTTTTTTTCTTCAATTCGAATGGAAGGCGAAACGAGCCGGCAAAATGTGTGTGTTGTAGTATGTTATCTGTCATCGATAAATTTACGAGATAATTTACATAATTGAATTCCATGTTTCGTGGCAAGGAACCTCCCGTTCTATACAGCAACCGCCGTTTGACGAATGTGTGTAAAATTAATTAGATGGTGTATATCGTTTGGAACTTGGCAGCGCAGCGGCGACCGACCGGTTTCCGAGTGAAGCCATTAGCGACCTCAGACCTTTCCAGAACATAGACTCAGTTAGATTTCCATCATTTTAAATATTTGCTATAGAAAGATTGTTTACGCACTAATTATAGGTGACGTACTTCAATTATTTCGGAAAATCACCACATGCAATGGGCGCACACAATACCTCAGTTGACAATGGAACCGATGATTGACAGCATGCCGACTCCATCAGCGAGGATCAGCGAGTTCAACGCGCTCCGCTACGGGCACAGCTCTAATGGAAGATCAACAAGCAGAAGGTGATCGATCATGATTACTCTCTGTTTGAGGAAGAAATTTTTGACAATTTAACTCATCACTCAAACCCGTGTGTGGCACGGGTTGTTGGTTGAGCTGATCAAGGAAGGCAATCTGTTTTCAACACGCGTTGTATCACGTTCAACGGCACTGACTGGAGGGGGGGGGTGGTTTGATTAGTTAGCACAAGATTGATGGATCAATCTTTTTTGATCGGGCTGTTTCCGGTGCTATCGGCAGGAAATGTTGATGTAGGAATTTGGTAATTTGTGTTGTCTTATGAAGATTTGATGTCCTATCTATGACTGATTACTAAAACCTGGACAATATTACAATAATTTTGATAGCTACCCCAGTTGGATATACACTTAGAAATATTTTTTTTTTTTCAAGAGACGTAATCCATCTTTGATGTTAACATGCATAAATGACGTACCATTTTAGGGGGAAGGAGGGTTTCAGAAGATGTGACCTGCCTTGTCGTCGGTTTCATGCAATACTGGCATAATTCAAAATCTGTAAATTTTGATCAACGGAATTTCTGTGTTAAGTTTCAATGTTATGAATCTGTTCATTTCCATTGGACTGAACCGAGTGTTTCATTCATTCTTTCATATATCCGATAAAAAATAAACAGTCCAACGTTTTTTAAAGCTCTTTATTTGAGCTTTGCCATGCAAAAATGGGATTAATTTTTTGAATTGTGACCATATTGCTTGCAAAAGCAACATTGCATATTTACAGGCGCAACTCAAAATGTGCCTTCCCAAGTAACAACTCAAGCTGAACAGTAAGAACAGAAGCTGATTATTGGTTGATTGAAGGTGTACAAAGCTGATTAACACCAGGGTGAATATATAGTAGTGCAGAAAGTGAATTGTATAATTCAACCTCAGTAAGTTAGCTGATCTAAAGACTGAACCAGACTTATTTAGCCTAATACTATTTACTCCTCAAACCAGCAATGCGCTACAAATATTTTGATAGCCAGATAGAATATTATGAATTTTTTGCACACTAACATTGTGACAATATTGTTAAATGTCGTCAGTGTCACTTACTGCATTTCCGACATTTTTGTTATTCTAAATTCACTGCCTACCTTTCTCATCCCAAGCAGCACTAGCAGTAGATACAAGAACGAGGACCCAAGTAACAATACAAGCTGAACATTAAGAACAGAAGCTGATTATTGGTTGATTTAAGGTGTACAAGCTGATTAACATTAGGCTGAATATATAGTTGATTAGTAGTGCATGAAGCGAATTGTATCCCCATAATCCAACCTCAATAGGTTAGCTGATCCAAAGATTGAACAAGCCTTATTTAAGCTTAACACAATTCCACAAATCAGCAATGCGTTACACATATTTTGATAGCTTGATTTGTTAAATGTCGTCAGTTTCTGTTGCATGTCCGGCATTTTAGTTCTACTAAATTCACTGCCTACCTTTCTAATTACTAATTACATCCAAACGACCATCAAAATAAATCGCGTGCTTGTGTTCACATTGTGTTAAGTGCACTTGAAAATGAGAGGAATGTTTAACTGTAACCAGTTGTTGCTTACAATTCTGCATTGCAGTATAATACTGTTCCGGGTGCTGTTATTCAACTTAAATTTGACGTGCTTCAAGTTAATGATCATACCTTTTACCACACATATGCCTAAATGGTCCAGTATGTATGGTTGACGCCTATGATTCAGCGACTGCTGGTTCGAATCCCGAAATGCAAAGGTAATTTTTAGACTTATATTAATATTATAAATATGTTAATCCAATTAGTCAGCAACAAGTTGAAGCAGTTCCAATATAAATACATAAGATATGTAGCTTCTTCTGAAGTCTTCTATTATTATTTTTGAAAAAAAAAACTAGAAGGCTGAACAAGAGTTGGAAAAGACTGTTACTTAATGCCTTAAAAAGCTTATAATGTCTATTACTGTTAAGCTTTTGGCTGATTAAAATCACCAGATTTAGATGTTTAAAAGCTGGACAAAGGTTAACGTGGTCTATGTACAGCAATTATTCAATCTAAGGCTAAATTTAAATCGATTAATCAACACTTGTTAAGCAGCAAATTGTTACCTGGGGAGCTTTTTAAAAATAGCTCCACTAAGAAGTGGACTGCGACGGCGTCGGAAGTATTAACATTTGTATTCCTGTGTTTTGTATGTTCACCACTTGCACTCATACCGCATTTCAAAAATATAATTCATTTATAGCACTAAAATAGTATCGAAATAGATCGCGCACTTGTGTCTACATTGTCTTTACTGCACTTGAAAATGAGAGGAATGTTTTACTGTCACAATGTATTGTTTACAATTCTGCATTGCTGTATAATACTCTTCCGGTTACTATTGTTCAACTTAATTTTGAAGTGCTTCAAGTTAATGATCATACCTTTTACCAAAAATTTGCCACTCGACTACATTGTAAAGATAATTTTTAGACATATAATAACAATAAAAATATGTGAATTTAATTAGTCAGCAACATTCTAAAGCAGTCTCATTGAAAGCATAAGATATGAAGCGGTCTTCCATTATTATTTTTTAAATAAAACAAGAAGGCTGAATAAGGGTCGAAAAAGACGGTTGGTGAATCCCTTGAAAAGCTTTTAATTTATATTGCTGTTAAGCTTTGGGTTGATTAAAATCGCCAGATTTAGATGTTTAAAAGCTCAACAAAGGTTAAATTGGTATATACAACAATTATTCAAACTAAGACTGAATTAAAATCGTTGAAAGAACACTTGTTAAGCATTAATTTGTTACCTGTGTTACTTTATTTACGGCTTTTTTTTTTTTGAAAAAGTAGCAACTATAACTTTCGATTTTTCACGAATTTCAAAATGGATTTTTGTGGGATGAAACTTCACACTATTTGCCGTCATTTGCGATCAAAATTACAAAAATGAAAAATTTCGTCTTGTGACAGTAGTGTATTTTTTTTTAATTATCAGACAAGCTGAGTCGAAGGGTTTCCGATTTCTATGAAATTTCGCCCATATATGACCAACAAATAAAAATTAAACGCTCATGTTTTCAGATTTTCTCGGACACCACCGACTTAAAAAAATCATAACTTTTGAAGGAAGCATCGTACAGTCAAGTTATTTGAAGTTTTGTCAGCTATTTTTAAAAAAATACAATTGACACACAATTCGTATGAATATGTTCACTAGTACAGAAAAGCCGTGGAAAATATCGTCTGCATCATGGATATTTGTTTTTTTTTTTGACGAAGGACTACGTCTGTGATTTTTATATGGAGGTACACTTTGTGTAAACCAGAAATGGAACATGTAACGAAATTATGAAAGATTTTGAACGTTAATAACTCAGCCGCTCCTGAACCAATTTTAATAATATTATCACCAATCGATCAGAAATATTTCTACGCATCTGTTATACTGTTATTTCATCATTGAAAATTGCACGAATGTGTAATTGTTGCTATGATAATTTAAATTATCACCGATTGCCTGCGAAAAGCGATTTTCCTAGCACAGATTTCAAAGTTGAATTCCATCCGGTCTCACCAAACTTTGTTTATTCAAACACCGCATGATGACTCGTGGTGTTCTCCAGTACACAACAAAAGGCTCCCCTCAAGCGCGCCGCTATTGATCAGAATCAGTAGTTTTTCGTGAGTTGCTGTCGGTCATCTATGTCAAGCGCGTCATACTAAATAGTATAACAGAGAGAACCCGCTGAAATTCCTATTCCTACACAAAACAAAAGCTTCTGCTGCAGTTAACAAATAAGATTTATTATGTAAAACCACGTAGTCCTACGTCATTATTGCGTACAACCCCATAAGGCTGTCCCTTGTAGTTTTTTCAAAAAAAAAATATCCATGACTGGGATATTGATTAACACACTGAAATTTGAAATCTTACGCATCTCACTGGTACTCTTTTCATACATTCCTTGTCTCATG